ATATAGCGATATGCATCTGGAGATGCAAATTTGGCCTGTGGGCTTACTTGCCTCTTGTGCACCTATCTGTCATTGCATATGGACAGGCCGCACCTACATACATGGATACATACGTGCATGCATGCATGCATGCATGCATGCATGCATGCATGCATGCATGCATGCATGCATGCATACACACACACACACGCGTATATCATACACAAATGTGTTGCTGTTTCCTTGTATTGTACATACACGTACAGATACATGTACAGCCGATCGAGCACAGCGCTGGTCGTACACGAGTTCTTTGTTTGACAACCCGTGCTACGTGCTCTCTACCGGTCGGTGTTACTGCTCGTGCTTCTGCTAATCTTGCGATGAGGTGTCGGCGTTTCACATGCACAGGACGAGTTCTACACCGCACTCGCGCATCGCCTTCATTTCAAGTTTGTTCTGGACACTTCGTTGCTCTAATAGCTTTCTGGCAGATCGGTTGAAGCAGCATATCGAGGTGCCTCAAGCACGGTTGACTCCGTTGCTTCTCGTCGTCCTCCGTGCTGGACATGCGTGGACATGGATGCTTCGATCCGACAGTCGGCTCAAGACTGGACTTCATGTAATGTCTTCGGGCGGTGGCCTCCCGAAAGAGGTTGGGCGTGGCCTGGATAACACGCGGAGACTTAAGTCGAGGAAGTCTACACGGATTTGGAATGTCAAAGTCATGAATTTGGATTGTTTACTCTGAAGAGAGTGAGGGGTGCCTGTTTGGCTAGAGGTTCTCAAGTCAGTCTAAACTTGCGAAGCCCAACACTTCAAAGCACATGCTTCAGCCCCACAGGCGCGAGCCTCGTTGCTAGAAGCAGCATGGCATCCCTGCCGGTGCTGAAGCAACTTGGCCTTGTCATTGTGGCAGATTTTGTTTTCTAGGCCGCTCCATCGGCATGGATTTGCCCAGCACGCATTTGTGTCGTTATGGGTGATGTTGTCCCGGCAAAGTGCCCATGGAGCCTCCCTGCACCATGCATTGACGCGCTTGAATTCTAATCCTGTCCAACACCTCCTGCACTTTGCTGCGTGTCTTGGAGCCTTCGACATCTGAAATGAAGTTCGGGATCCTCCAACTCAGGACAGTTGTCGGTCCAGACGGAGGTATCTCCACGCAGGCCCGGAGTCAGCTCCAGGGTTCGCGTCGAAGCCGTGTTCGGCGCTCTGAGGGTGCCGACTTGTGTAGGCACTTCGAGGACCGGAGTTCAATTTCGACTTCACCGTTCCGAACCTTTCCAGAATCGGTTTCCTCTTGATGACCGACCGCTGAAACAGCTTCGGAAACGGGTCTTTACAGAGGAAGCACACCCATGGCAAGTAGGGCCGTAGGGCATCGAATTCCAACATGGTCAACGGGGGCTTGGACAGTCCGGATTCTCAGTTTCAATCAGAGCGCAAGCACGGCGCACGCACGGCCAGGCCGAAGAGCCAACATCACTCATGGTGTCTACCGGCGCCTTGGAGCAAGATGAACTTCTAAGAACCCCGACTTGTGTTGAGCCGTCGAGTCAGTCGATGTCGATGAGGGCCGGCGAGTTACTTTCTGTTTTGGTTCTTGGGTTCTTCACAAGTTCAGAAGATTGCATACTGAGTACTCTTCGAAAGCTTGCACCCAGGCGCTCTCAGAATCTCATGGGGAAAGACCGCTCAGGCGTGGCCATGGCTGGAGGGGCTGCTGCCGGTGGTGGCCTGGCCTTTCTCCTTTGCACCTTTGCTGGAGAAGTTCAGTTGCGTGGAGCTTGCAAGAGGCAAGCCTCAGTGTTTTAGCGCGAGTGTGCGTGAAACAGCTGCTTCAAGTCCCGACACTCTCTCCCTTGCCCTTTCTTCCCAGGTACTTCCAAGTGCCCGGGAGGTGTCAAAGGTGCACTCTCCGGCATGATCGGAGCCATGAATCCTTTCAGCAGCCCGGCGTGCAAGGTGCCGTGGGTGTGAGGAATTATCGCTTGCCGAGGTGAAGCGAGCAAGGCAGCAAAAGGCTTCAAATTTCCGCTGAACGCTCACAGCCGAGGCATGCTCATGAAGAAGGATGAGCAGCCTGGCAAGCCGAAGGAGTTGCATAGTCATGCCGTGACTGTAGATGGAGGCAGAGTATATTGGCGACACCTAGCCCAGGCAACAGTGTTCAGATGTACACTGAGGAAAGATGCACTGGAGGAGGAAGAAGAGGAAGACAGCATGAAGAAGATGGAGAAGCAGGCTTCTTCTCCGCGGGCCCACAAAACGGGCACCAGTCGGGGGTTCTCCGCGGGCCGAGCCTCGATGTTTGGGAGTCCCAGTAGGCACTAGGCCAGCTGGAGTCCAAAAGAGAGAAGACCCGCGGCTCGCGGCTGCTGACTTCAGGAAGGCTAAGGGCACTGACAGCACCCCCAGGCTGCTAGAAAACCGCGGTGTCGAAAACGTTCCGTTGAGATTAAGTGAATTCTCTCACTTCTCCGTAGCGGTCGGGACTTTCCTTTGCCTGACTGGAGCAAGGTGGATACCATCGAGAAAGAGTTGTGCAATATGAACTGCAAGATGGCAGGCTTGCTTGGAGGCCTGCAGCCTAAAGCCCCAGGAAGGGTTTCATTTTCTGCCGACCTGATGCCGAGTCAAGGAAGTCACAGATTCCCAAACGAGGTCGGCACGAACACATTGCTGAGACGCTCCAAGACTTTAAGAAACCCGCATAGAATAATGGATCAAGCCGTGCATGCGAAGCCAGTGTAGATGCTGTAGATTCGTAGCGGCACGTCGAATGCTTTGAGGTGCCGCAGGCGCTGCTGCAGGCAACGTGGTGGTGATGGACTCAGCACCAGAGAGAGCATAAGAAGTCTGGCTAGAAATGCGCGGGTCAGACAAAGCTACCTTTCGTTTGCTGGACTCGCCGACTAGCATGCCAAACATTGGCCTCGCTCGTCGCTAGGGCCACTGGGGTGGTCAAATTTCGTGCCAACCTGCCACAGCAAGACAAGTGGATCTTGCAGGTACGATGGAGCGGGACTTCTTTTGAGTCTCTCCAGCCAAGTAGAATAAGTACAGTGTAAGCAGAAGGCCGGAGCGTGCGGCAGCCTCTTACTTCGGATGCCCGAGGCCAAGCAAGTGAACAAGCAAGAAGCCGAGGGAGGCGGTCTCCTCGGAGGAGGAGGAGGGGGAGGCCGTGCACTGGACACGAAAACACCCATGGTTGTCCAGCCGCTTCATGTCACAGTTTCGGTCAGGTGGCTTCAAGCTTCAGATGCTAGACGAGTGGAATGCTCCACAGTTCTTCGTTTTGACGAAGCAGATCGACAACCTGCAGAAGTTCGGCCAAAATTGCACCATATCGAAACAATCATCCAGCTCCCTTCCGGGGATGCTGGCATCACAGGCATCACATCTCCACGTTGCAATCTCTCGTGAAGTTGCCTTTGCCTTCAGGCTGTAAACTCGGATTTTCCAGCGTGAGAGCATGAGCTGCCTGTCCAAGGAGGGATCTCCGGAGTTTGGAGCCTCAGAGCTGCGAGGCCCGCAGCTCCGCTCTTGGATGTGCCAGGAGGCAACAGGAAGCAACCTGCAGCAATCTGTGCAACTTGCTGTGGCAGGCAAAGGCCGCGCAAAGTCAGCATACAGAGACGAGAAGATCGCAAGCAAAATTCGACTTCTTCTAATGCCTCTTTGCTATTTGGTGCCGGGCTTTCTGGGCAGTTTGGGCGTTCGGCCAGTTCCCGATGGTTCTAATCCTGCCAGGAGTCACAGCTTCAGCTCAATGTGGAGATTGGAGGTTTTGGGAAAGTCGTCCGAACACAGTTCCGACGAGGTTTGAAAGTTGCAGGCTGCAAGCCACGCGCTGAATCCTGCCCTCGGTGGCATCCCTTGGCCTCAGAGCCCTAGTCACATCACAAAGGCAAGAAGTGTTCACATTGTAACTAGTGCAACATGGCTCGCCGCGTCCTGTTTGGCTCTGAGGGTCGGCAAATGGGAACGTCTTAAAAACGCCACCAGTAGTGCATATTTCCGGGATGGCATGACTGAATTGCGGCATTCTTCATGGGCTGATTCATGCTGCCAATTTGCAAGTCACAAAGGTTTCTGCCGCCTCCGCTGCTAGCGCTGGTCTGAGATGAGTGACAGGCCAAGCGATGCTACTGAAATTGCTGCTGGGATCGGAACTTTCTGGAGTTCAGAGTCCAAGTCTCTGAGAAGTTTGCTTTCCTGAAAGTCCGGCCGAGCGTTGTTGCAAGCTGACATCAGTGTCAGTGAGAAACTCAACGGGGCAGCTGGCACAGCAGCCACGCCCAAAGCAGGAAGTCTCACAGATGGATGTTCAGAGAAGGACACCCCATGGACAGACCAGGAAAGGATGCGGACATCCTCCGCACCAACCCCACCATCTAAGCGCTTCTAGCTGCAAGTGTCGTCCTCAGCTTCCCCCTCTTGCGGTCAGGCACGTGCGCGGGTACATCCAAGTCGCAGATTCCAGCAGGTTTCACAAGAGAGTGCCAGTTGAGTCTGCGCGCGACTGGAGGGAGCCAGAAAAGAGCGGCCTGATGCTAGAGCTCTTGCAGAAAGGAAATAAACTGGCTTGCACCCTTCACACACCACAGCGGCTTTGTGCTCCGGGTCGGATCTAAACAAGGGATGTAGGTTGGACGTGGCAGTGATGTGGCCAGGCTGTCAAAACCAAGCCTTGCTTTATAGACGCCATCGGCTTTCTGCCAAGGCCTCTGCTTTTGCTTCTCAGGGTGCAGCCGCAGGCTCTGGGTGCAAGGGCAGGTGTCAGCTGAAGCGATACTGCTTGTGCATCCCTCGTTGGCCTGCAAGCAGCCTTGGCATCTTTTCGCGCATCTCGCCGAACTACCGGCCGACCTGCGTTGTCGCTTCCAATCCCTGGTTCAAGTCTCACCAAGGGTGGTTTCGTGCGAGGTCATGAACCTCCAAGTTCGACGTTGCGGGAGAGGCATTAGCTACATGCCCAGAGTTATTAGATTATTAGAGCCATTAGAGAAGTAAAGTAATCCCCTCCGCCGTGCTTGCCTTCATGCGCCGCGCACCTGCGCGCTTCCAGCGATGCCCTCGCCCAGCCACGGGGGCATCCCCGCTCCACGACTCGGCCCTCAAGGCGGGTGCCGGTTGATTATGTTGCAAGTTAAGAAGGCAGCCGCCCCGACTCAGAAGAGCTCCTTTGGTTGTAGAATCCAAGTGTATCTTGGGTCGCCCGTCTAAACCTGCGTGACTTTCTTTCGATCACATTCGAGACGTGCTCTGTCCTTACAGGTTGCTATACAATTTCTCCGCTTGCTTTAAGACCCCACTCAACACGCTTTTTACTTCAGGGTCACGGTTTGTGGAAGATTGTGATAGACAAATTCGCATACAAATCCGCAGGTATGCGGTCTGACATCAAATGGGCTCGCCTGAATAATCGAACAGTACAGGAGGACAACGACGACAACAACAGCAACAGCAACAGCAATGAATAGTAGGTTGATTGAACACTGAGCGGCTGAGCACCCCAAACCAGCGCCGCCGTTGGCATCAGACTCATATGAGACCTGCCATGACCCGCCTAAGCCCTCAGAGCAGGAAAATGGATTGCCGGCGAAGGCGAAGCGAGGTAAAGGCATGCAAGGAAAGAGGCTGGCCTAACTCGAAGTACCACAGCATGTTGTACACGACAACCACAAGCACAACCACAACCACAACCATGACATCAACAGCAGCACCGGTAGCAGCAGCCGCCGCCATCGCAAGGATCCCATTCACCAACGCGAGAGATCGTCATTGAAAAGCGTGCTTGTAGCATAATGTGTCAGGAGACAGGACAAAGTGCTCCGAGACGCGCCTTGGTATCAGTGGGTGCAATGATTCCATCCAGAAGAATGGGGAGGGATCTGGCGAATGTATTTTCAGTAGAAACGAGTGACAGCCGCCAAAGGCCGAAATGGACTTTGAACTGGTAAACAGGGCGACACGCGGCGCAGGAGCACTCAAAAAGTCAGAACTCGCTTACCTCCATATGGCTGTGCTGGCACAACTTCCATGCAAAGATGCCTCCGCCGCACAACGTTACAAGTGCTTGTGCCAGGGCGGATGCACCGTCCAAATTCCATTTGGAAGATCTTTTAAGCATATTGAAAGCGCAATGCTCGAACATAATTAAGCCGATACGGAGAGCTCGCTGCCCAGTGCAAATTGCTGGTCTGTCTCCAGACTCCAGTTTCCATTTGGTTGTTTCTGTCACTGTAAGATTGTGTAATCTTGTGGAATCTCCTCTGCAACGAATGCAATGTCCTCTCCTTGCCAAGCAGGGCCTCTACCGCCCAGTGGAAAGGAGGCGCTACCTCGCAGGCCAATGAAGCAGCTTGGCACATGTAGCGTGTCGGCTTCATACTATGGCATAGACTGTCCGGCAGCCAGAGAAGCACACCCCGCGGCAGTCAACCCCATTGCATTTGCCTGAGACAGCTCTTGGCCAGGGCTCGCTTGAAGTCGAACGTGGGGCTGCAGCCACTTCCTCAAACAGGCCGCGACCCGGGGCCTTTGCGGGCCATGTGCAGAACAAGCCTGAGTACGGAAGCCCCGGCTGACTGCATGCATCTGCGTGCTGAGGCGTTACGACACTACGCACAAGTCAGAGTGCAGAGCTGCCCACGGTGCGCCGACTGGCAAAAGGCCAAAATCCATTTGCTGCTGCTGCTGCTGCTGGTGGAAGCCATGGGAAGCCTGAGCCTCACCTCTCCCTTGCGCAGTAGAGCGCAGCCCTCGGAAGGAGAATCGACCGCATCTCTACGCTGGGAGGCCCCTGATTCCCCAGCCTCCAGGCAGCACAAAAGCCCGAAATCGGTCGAACGGGAAGTGCGGGCTGACCGGCTAACGCATCAGATTGGGCGACCTTGCCCGACTTTGCCTCGAGCCTTCACTGCAACTCGAAGCCCCGATGCGGCACATCGCTTTTGTCGCAAAAGCTCTGCAACCAAGGATACCCCGACGACCGCCTCGGCCGCACCTACCAGCCGCACTACAGCATAAACAGCCATTTGGTCTGTGTCTGTATCTGGGCTCTCCACGTCGCAATGCAGGTATACTGTAGACGCATACAACAATTTACGTATTCTGTCGCTAGTTCGATAGGTAGAAAGAGCGGCAATTGGCGGTAGTGGCACATGGCCAAGCATGTCGCGCCAAATGTACACGCACCCGCAAAGCAAGGGTTTGGCCCCCAGATCTGCGGCCGGAGCCAAGCTCCACCCGATTCTCCTTCCTCGCGAGGTCCCAAGCTGGACCCTCACGAAGCCTACAGCAACTTGACTTTAGTTAAAGGCTCTTGTGGTTGTTCTCGGAGCGGTTTGAAGCTTGTCCTCAGCTGGGCAAGGTACGCTGGCGCCGGCGTCCAAGCGATGGGCCCGAACTCGCGACTTGTTTGCCTCCTAGGGCCCTATAGGGCCTAGGGCGGGGGCCATGCAAGATGCTATTCCCCAATTCTTTGTCACTGTTGGGTAACATTTTGCATTTTTCTGGGTACGTAAATTCAATATAAGGACAGCTGGACCAGAGTTTTTCTCCGATAAGTGTTCGAGACTAAGACTGCACTAGACACCCGCGAGGTGCGCAATTGCTGCAGAAACTAGTTTTTGGAGCTCGGGGGGTTCAGTTTGGTGCAAGACCGATCATAAGAGCCAGCGGTAGCTCAGTGGTGCACTCTCCTATTCCGCTGCACTTCAGGTTCTACCACCCCGCAGCGGCCGGGTCTGGAGGGCTGGCGCCGCGCTGCAGCTCAAGCGGTAGAGGAGCGGCGGTGAGGGAGACCAAGCCAGCCCGGCCGTGTGGTCGGCTGTCTCTCCGACGGGCAAGGACGATAATCTTGGACGGGACGCACACTGCACTAATCATGGCAGGATCGTGCTGTACGGCAGCGGAAGCAGGCTCGGCAACACCGATTCAGATCGTTTTTTGGCGCACCGCTTTTGCAAATTGGCTTCCTGAGACTTAAGACTAAGAGATTGGTGTGGATGCTGGCATTTTCCCGCTGTCAAAGTCATAGATCCAATCCCAACATTTCAGTACAGTTAGACTCCAGTTAGACGGCTGCACCAACAGCAACATGGGTGACGACGACCACGACGACGATTGCACAAGCAGCAGCAGCAGCAACAACAACAACAGCAGCAGTGGCGGCAAGAATGAAGACGATGAACAGAAGCCAGGAGGAGAATCAATGCCAGGCGAACTTAGGTCAAGAGCCTTAAATTTGGTTCTTTTGGTCCTTTGTTGTCTTTGTTCTTTTGTAATGAAAGCAGAGCAGCACGAAAAGAACAATGCACAACAAGAAAAAGAACAGAAAAAACGAAGATGACCCAAAATTTATAATGGAAATTCGTGCTTCATTCCATTCCATTACAATTTCCATTACAAATTTAGATCATCACCCACGGCCTACAGGTTAGTTGTAATGTAATGGAAATCAGGGGTTCGTGGCTCTTTGTTGTTTCGTTCTATTTCAATGGCAACGAAGTGAAGCGAGAATAGAACGAAGACAACAACGAAGAGCCACAAAAGAACCCAAGCACTTGGATGATGTAAACTGCCGTGTGATTCCGTTCGTTTCTCGTTTAATTGTTCATTCATGCGGTTCATGCTTCNNTCATTATAACCGCATGAAACAATTAGCCGTGTAAACGAGAACTCCGGAATCACCCATAGGCCGTGTGAATTAATTAAACAAAGAAGAGAAACGGATGTTGAAGTTGACTCAGCTGTTCTGAATGCTGGCTTTAATCACAAGTAAGAATACAGGATCTAGGCAGCAACTCTTGGCAAATTCAGCAGGCAGCTTTGATTTGACCAAGCTATTCCTACATCACCCATGTCCTTGGACAGGTGAACCTCTCCCTTGCTTCCTTGTCCACAGAGGCTTGGGGGCCTGCCTTCGTAAATTCGATACAAGTATAGTAGCTGCGCCGAACGTCATGGTTCGCGCGCCAGGCTGTGGACCGAATGGCCAGTGATGCTGACTCGGACAGAAGGTTGGGAGCCCTACGCGAAGCTGCGATGCTTCGTCCCGTCCCATGCCTGTTCGACTGCCAACGCTGACTTGATGCAACGGAAAAGCTCTCGCATCATGCGCATTGCCACACATTGCGAAGCATTGCGACTCATTGAGCCTGGTGTGGTGTGCCCGAGGCCTTCGCCTTCCCCGCTGCCACGCTCGGAGACTTCGGAGTACGGGCTACCGCAGCGACCCTCGGGCAAAGTTGTGGGCCCTCGGGCCCTCGTGTGCTAAATCACGATGTCACATGCATTCCAGACTGCCAAAGTTGGGAGTCAAGCATTCTTCACATCAGTGCTGAAGATGAGCTCCGGTGAAGCCCGGGCTCCTGTGCTTGCAGCTGCAGATTTCCTTCTGAGTGCTTTTGACTCGCCCATGGCAGGTGAGCTTTCCGTCTACGAGCAGGCATGCATCTCCAGGCACCGTGTGCTCAGAGCGGACAGATGTTGTGAATGCGGCTGCACCATAGACGAGCTTCTGGCAGGATGCCACTGTTCACAAATGTTAACAAGTTGAATCTCCACATCAGCCTTGTTGCCATTCAGATTTGGGTTAGATCCGCATTTACGCTTAACCCCCTCCCCTCACGATGTCGCCCATGATATTCGCTCAACTGGCGGACTTGCATTGCAGGCAAGATGCACATTCGCTCTGACGTGAAACAGCGGTATTTCGCAGTTACAAGATGCCCTCAGGTGGTATTTCTTGCACGACACAGATCGGCCCTTGTTCTTGCTCGCGACCTCATCGCCTCCGCTAACTGCAAATCTCAATGGTGAAAAGCATTCTAACTTCACGTTGAGATGCACTGCCAGGAAGCTTCTGCCGAAGTTTGTCAGCCGCATCCAGGATGCCGTGTCGGGAGATGTGACATGACTGAGACTTGCTTCACTCGAACAGGAGCATGAACATTTTTAGCGTTTCGCGGAGGTTTCGCGTTGCTCGCATGCTTTGTGATGGAAGGCAGAATGCAGGGAAGAAGTCTGTCCTGTTTGAAATCGTTGCAACTGTCATTGACCCTCAAGCGAGGTATTCGACTTGCGTGGCGCGGGGCTTGGAGATGATCAGCTGCTGGCAGTGTTTGCGCAACTCGGTCCAAGCATTCAGCAGGCTTGCTGGATACTAGAAACTCCGAAACCTTCAACTCACAAGATGTCGCAAGCCAATTGAAAATGAAATGTGGGTTCCGGTCTCTGGAACTGGCTAACGCCAGCCATGTCGACCCATTGCAATGTCTGGCACAGGCCTAATCGACCGAGATCGGCAGCAGAACTACTTCGAAACTTAGATGTAAAACCAGCACAGAAGTTGTGAGAGTGATATAGTCCTCAGACCACTCCACAGTTTCCAACGGTTAGTTGCAATGAACGAGATGTCAACAACATGAATTGATTTGATCGCATGGCAATTTTTCGTCTGGGCTACCACAAAATTTGAATGAAAAACCACCAGTGATTGGACACCATCTTCTATTCTGCCATCAAAAGGATGCAAGTATGTGTCATCCTTGTGAATTCCTAGAGTCTTGGACGGCCTGGGATAATGATGCGTCAGAGGGCATCAGTCTGCCCGTAGCACATGCGACTACAGTATGATTCTTTCCTTCTTGTAGTACCTCGAACAGGAGCATAGCAAAGGCGCAGTCAGCAGCAGCACTCCCAAGCAAACCGTGCAACCCCAAATCTCAACATTACAAGAACAGTTCTCGATGCATGTTTAGGTTGGAACTAGGACCCGAGACCTGTAAAGTCAAAGACTAAGCAGGACAGATGCTGCCAATTTGCCCCGTCTGCTCTCCCTTTGCTGCCAGGGACAGCAATCTATGCCCCGCGGCTCAAATCCGGCGTTGGCGGCTGCACGATGCAGCTTGGCATATCCGCCCCTGCACAGACCTGGTGCATCCGGACAATATCGCGGAACACTCAAAGAGCGCTGTTGAGAACCTCGGCACCACATCTGGTGCCGAGGTCCGCATGCGCGACAGGGGAGTCAAGCGACTTTCTGAGCTGTTGGACGAGGCCTGACACGTGTGTTGATGGGTCATACTCTGTCACAGTCATGACTGTTGAGAACGTGCGATTCAGCAGTTCATCGGGTGTGCGATGGAGATCGTTTCAGCTTGAAAGCGTGTAGCAGACCAGGACGGTGAAGAGAAAGTGAATAGAATTCGAAAGCTCTAGAAGCACAAATGTTATGCAACTCAGTGGTTGCTTCTACCAATGCTGCATGCCGACTTCTGCTGAATGCGTGTGTGCCGATATTCAGGTTCCCTGGTCTCTCATCGTTCGCCCAACAGTCGGGAAAGATTGAGACACATATTGCAGGGTAATTTGGCCGCTAGCGCGGGGAGCCAGCTCGGGGGATTTTTCAGAGCTGCAGTCGGATTTCAGAGTGCTGGCGTTTGCTTTGATGTCTCCTTGTACATTCGGGGAGGAGAGGAGCCGCGGAGGAACCGGTGCGGGTAAGGCGGGGAGGCGGCGGGCCGGGAAAGGCGTGTTCAGAGACCGGATTTGTGGTACCCAAGCCCCAAGCTCCGGGTGGTAGGGATCCAAAAACCAAACAAGTATCAATAAGAAGATAAGCATGATGATGGTGATGATGATGATGGCGATGATGATGATTATTATTGTTGTTATTATTGCAAGTACTATTATTGCTTTATATTATTGATATAACTAGTATTGCTATTGTTAGTACTCTATTATTACTTCTATTTCTACTACTACCACTATTGTCATTACTACTATTCTGATGATTGTCGTCGAATATCATTGCTATTAGTATAACAAATTTATTCAATATTAAGTTCATTAACTAGTTAGTTAGTTCATTAGTTAATTAAGTACTTAGTTAATTTGCTAATTAACTAATTAATCAATTAATTAATGAGTTATTTAATTAATGAACTAACCAACCAACTACCTAATTAATTGACCAAGTTAGTTGCTTAACTAACTAACCAATTAAATTCGTTAGTGTTACTAGACGAAAGCGATTGCTATTATTATTATTACTACTATCATTATTACTATTATTATTACTATACGGTACTATTGATATTATTATGCAAACGGGATAGAAGGGCCTGCCCCCCCCCAACCCTCCCGCTTTTTTTGGAGAGGTATCGCGCCATCAACAACTGAACCCATACGAACCCTTGCAAAACCCCGGCATGCAGGCCTTGTGTTTGCAAATAGGGAGGGGCGGCTGCGCCCCCCTAACACCCTGCTCTTGTTTGGAGCCGCGCAAGCTTTCTTTAAGGAACATCATGCCATCAACTACAGAACCCATTTTAACCATCGCAAAATCCGAACATGCAGGCCTTGTGTTTGCAAATGGGGGGTGCTGGTGCCCTCAAATCCCCTGATCTTTGCTGGGACTAGTACTGATGAGAGTAGTGGTAGTAGTAGCAGTAGTAGCAGCAGCACTAGGTGGTAGTAGTGGTGGTAGTAGTAGTAGTAGCTGCTTTGTGCGCAGCAGTCGAAGTCAGACTACCAAGACGACTACTACTACTACTACAACTACTACTACTACTACTAATAATCATAATAATACTTACTACTTACTACTACTACTACTACTACTACTACTACTACTACTACTACTACTACTCTACTACTTACTACTAC